TCAATTAAGTTCCACTGGCTAAAATTACATTTGTCATTTTAACCTGGTGGTCAGATTGGATGGTATCTTTTGGCTTGAACTACAAGAATTTGGTGTTTGAAAAATTTGCAACCCAGAAGTACACTGATTTCCACATACTAAAATTACTTATGAGATCAGGAGTAATTAATAAGCCTATTGGAACTACTACTACAAATTTAAGAGCTTTCGAAATTCCCTTATAAACACTGTAATACCCTTATTTTAGAAAAATACGCAGGAATCAGATGCCTGTAATTCATTAATTTCTACTATTTCAGAGTCAAACCTGTTATAGGTAGTACTATACCCTCCACATTTGTACTGCAGCACAAGGTGAAAGCTGATATGGTTAGCAAACTTTATGGGAGAATCCTTCAAATTAGGACTGAGCATTTTCTCCACTGCTTCTTGGCTTCCCAAAAACATTCCACTTCTCTGCTGAAAATATTTCCCCTTTTATTCCTGAATATTCTTCTAAAAATACAGAAACTAAAAATGGAATATGATTTTAAGATGATGAATTATCAGTTAAACTCTCAAAAGCTCCTGTTAAGAAACCGCAGAAGTAAGGATTTGTAACTAATGAACAACAGAGTTCCATGAAAAACTAAGTTTTAAGTACTCGGTAAAAATAAAGTGCCAAATTTCCTTGAATGATGCAGTTCCCAGGATGGTCTTTCACTGTAAGTCACTGTTAGATCTGACTATGTTACAGTCAGAGTCGGAAAGTTTTAAGAGGCATGAACTTTCCATTTTTCATCCTAAAAATATGACTGATACCTAAATTTAAATATGCCTCTTTCAAAAACAATAAATACAGGGAGTTCTGAAATTGCAGAAATCTGCACGTGCTCCTCTGTGCACAGAAATCACTACAAGAGAGACTGATTATAAAAAGTGGGAGATAAATGAAATTTCAACAATTGTGAGTTACCAGACCTAAAATTTCCATGTATGAAATCTCAATACTACGAGATGCAAGCTATATACATTTGAAGTAGGAACACGTAGTGAAGGAAGGAAGATGAAAAAGATCACGATCCTCTGTAGAGCTTCAGGGAAGAGCTCTTATTTCTGTTCCAGTATGCAACAGCTATTTAAACAGATCATCAAATGACCTAATTACAGTATGTCCTTGCAACTGTATCCCAACAGACTTTCAATCATTACATTGTTCATTAAATGATTGGGTTGTTTTGTTGTGGGTTTCCGCCCCCCCCTGTAATTATTTCAAATTTCTTCCTCTCTGGCTTCCCTCTAAAAAATAAACAGAAACCTTCAGTGAAGAGCTTGTTATGTATTTCTAGTTTCTCTGGATACATATAATAATATACTTTATTTCTTGCACAGTTACTCAATTCATAATCATGTGGAAGCTTTAATACATACACTGTTTATTTCAACTTCCAGAACACTGATTGACAATACAAACACCTACTCTATCAACATGATGCTGTACCCTAATATACAGGTACCCTTACATTCAATATTCTAGCATTTAGTATTGCCCTTCATTATAGTTATGCTGCTTTCCAGTACGTGTGAGTATTTCAACTTCAGTTGCATCTGAAATGTTGCTTTATTACATTAACACCTGCTTAAAGCAGACTTACTAATTCCTTAATATTCCTCAAGAACAAAGTGAATAATTGACAACATAAGAACACCGAGACTAGAAAAAAAAACAAACTCAACGTTCTTGACACCCATTCTTTCCTATCTTGCTTAATATTATACGATTCATGAATCACCTATACAACTCCCATGACCTACTTAATACAGTAAGTATGAAAAATGTGACGTTGTAGCAAATTATAGCCAACAAAAACAAGGAAGCTATAGATGACCTAGTCAATGCAAAAAAAAAAAAAAAAATCAAAGGACACAATAGCTACAAAACACAAAATCCTTTCCTCAAATGGACACACAAGGTGGAAAACCTCCATGGGAGATGCCTCACAAAGATGCTTCTGATCAGGATGTTCTGCTGAGGAACTGACTGTGAGAAGTGCTGCTCTGCCCTTCAGTGGTCATCGGTCACAGACTCAGGCACAAGGTCATGCCTGCTTGCCTTCATTGTGTACAGTACATGTTCTGTACACAGCATTGCTCTTAAAAATTTCTAAATGTTTGAATTTAATAGGAAAGATGAAGAGAGAATTAAAATTATAGACAATTATTGTCATTTTCTTTCATAGGTTGTCACAACTGTACTGGAATAAAGCCAATTTTTCGTCAGTGCAAAAAAAACCCAACCCAGATTAGGACGTTAGGACTGCTATTAGCAAGTAACTCCCAAATACTCATCATCTGGACTTCTTAATAAAAGAAGTTTTACAAATTAACTTTATTAAATGCTCCTTTTCTAAACTTTTATCTACATGTTATAATTTTAGTATTTTTTTCCATTCAACTTCATCAAGGAAGAGAATGTATCACTTGTTATCTTGGGAACAAGGACAGACAACAATGATGCTTTTAATTGAATTTTTAATGCTGATTTTTGGAAAAGGCTCTTTCCAGTTTCTTGTGTACTGCACCTGAAAGATAGTTAACCCTACTGCTGCAAACTATTTCTTAAAATGTGTTGTCCTTGTAAAAAGGGTCAAGCTTTTCTTAGTCTGCAGTTATATACAGTACACAATAGACCAAATCTGTGAACAGCTAAAATAAACCAAAGCTATCCCAGACACTTCCTGAATGAGGAAGTCCTGACCGTGTACAAGCTCAAAATAAAGTGCAAGTGGAGTTGGGCTACTCAGGAGAAATACAGACACGGCTCAGATACACAGGGATGAGAGTAAAAAAGCCAAAATTGGGTTGGATTTGAAACTGGTAGTGGGGGGTAAAAAGCCACAAGGACTTCTACAGGCTGCGTTAGCAGCAAAAAAAAAAAAAAAAAAAGATTAAGCAAAGCAAGGACAGCAGCCCAGTGGATGGAGGACCTAGAAATAAAAAAATATGGGGAAGGCTGATTTACTCTATGTCTCCTTTGCCTCAGTCGAAGCTTCCTGATGATGTCTATTGCCAGCCCTCCTGGGTCTCTGCCTCTGCACATTCGTAAGGATGAAGGACCATCTCAGAGTTGAGAACGATAAAGCTTGAAACAGCGAAGAGCAAATTGGACATACAGAATTCCTCAGTTCACAAGAAAAATCTGGAGCAAGCCATTGAGGAAGCCACTTCTAGGCACATAAAGTGACAGGGAAGAGTCAGCATTGATTGAATTACGCCTAATCACTCCCTACAGCAAACTGCCTCGTTTGGTGGATGAGGGGCGAGAAGTGGATGTCATTTACCTCGACTTTAACAAGGTTTTCAACGTGAGTCCCCCATAACTTCTTTGTAACCAAAGAAGTGAGAAACTAACTGGTCAGGCAGACCTCAAGGCAAGTGAATAACCTGCCAGACTACCGGGCACAGTGGTCACAGATCTGTGTCTAGCAGGTGGTCTGTTGAGGTGATCAGCTTGCACAAGTCAGCAGGGTGGCCTTGTGGCAACACGGGCTACCACACGCTCAGTTGACTGCGTAAGAGTTTACTCAACAGGTTGAAGAAAATAATTATTTCTCTCTATGTGTGATTTGGGATACTACACTGGGCATACAGTTTGGGGGTACTCAGTACAAGGCACTGACGCACCGCAGCAAGTCCGAAAGAGCCACCAGGATGAACTGGCTCCAAAGCAGGCAATGTACAGGGAGAAGCAAACAGAAACGGTGTCGTTCAGCCTCGAGGAGGAGGCTGAAGTGGGTCCAACTGCTGACTTCAACTGCCCGACATGCAGCGACAAAGGAGGCAGCGCCCAACTCTTCCGAGAGGTGCCCGGCAGGAGGGGAGAGTGCAGCAGGGCCACAAACCCCAGCAAGGGACGATCCAGTTCGACCCAAGGAGAACATTCTCCATCAGGGAGGGTGGGCAAACACCAGAGCTGGCTGCCTGGAAAGCAGCCTCCAACCATTACACTTGAAAATGTATTGCTTCAGTTACTTTTACTTACTACTTAACTCTAAACAATCCTCTTCCTTAGGTGACAGACTCCTCTTGAACAAATGTTCCTTCAGCCCAATGTACTAGTCACAGTGGGCATTTCTGGTTTCTTACGAAGCTGGCTGCATCCTTCATTACAGAAAATTTCATGCCTGCTTTCTTTTTCCTTCACATTGTAGTGCTACTTCTCATTGCATATCACTCAACAACTGCTTTATAGTGCCTTTTCTGAAAATCCGTTCATCTACGATTCCAGAAGTTTTTCTTAATTGACCAGTTGTCTTGTTCTCCCTCACTCTGAAGTATAATATACACTTAAAACCAATTCTGTTCTTGGAGGATTTTTTTCTCTTTAAGATCCATGTATAATTTATAACAACCACCGTTAGCTATAAACACCTACAAGCTATCAATTATTACTCAGATGGCTATATTTTTCGCTGTGCACCCAATGGAGTGTAAGTGACTATGGTACCCACACATCACATCATACACTATTTCATAGTTAATGCCTTTTGATCACCTCCATATGGGACATTTCACATGGAAGTAAAAATTATTCATCATATCCATATAGTTCCTTTGAGAAGGAAAATAAGCTATTGCCAGAGTGAGGAAATATAGGGTTTTTTTGAAAGTGGGAACAAGTAGAATGGGAAAGAAAAGCTGCACAGAAACCTGCAAGAATATTACCATTACAGTTTTCTGAATAACTCAGAGAGGAGTAGGAAGAGGGAATAAAGTGATTATGCAGACTTTTGTCTTCTGGTGGTTTCTAAGGGTTAAAAAAAAAAAACAAAAACAAACAAACAAACAAAAGGAACCAAAAAAATGCCAAGGACCTGTCTGTCTTGCATTGATTCTGTTTCTTCTTCCAGCTGACTATCACACCTTTTCATCCTAATTAGAAGCCGTAAAATGGCATGGGTGCTAACTAGATCTATCAAAGCAGAGAGCAGTACCATTTCTAGCTAGAACGACTACTGGACATCCTCCCAGCAGCATTAGTGCAAGAGATTAACTGTTTGTGAAAGGCACACTGTGTAACTTGCAGGAAACTAAGGGCCAAAGGCATATATGCCAGCATTGAGCATACCTTTTATTTGACACATACAGTCAAATTGTAGCTCCTTTCAGGCACCTGGAAGTGTATACAAGTTAAACACTTATGACTTAATAGCTCCATGATGATGCCAGTAGTCTCAGTACTAATTTACTGTTTTCTTTTCAGCTCCTGTAACTTCGCTGAACTGTAAGTGTCCACTAAAATCAACTGTGGGACAACTCCGTTTCTCTGTAGAGTCCAGAAAGCCTGGCCCTTTATCCTCACCTGCCTCTAGTATCTAGAAATACTAAAATACATGAGCACCCTCTAAGCTTCATCAACCTCCCCAGAGATATGTAGTGGTTTTCAGATTAAAAAATTGGAGCAAAAAGAGTATTTGTTTTCAAAAGGGCCCAGAAGGAAGCCTGCCACACTTACAGAAAACATGAAATTCTGGCTTTCTATATTTGCCAAGCTACCACACTACACTCCAGACATCCAGAGTTGAAGTTAATAATGTCTGATCAAGCATTAATATGGTTTTAAGACATTAAGATGGTTTCAAGGCATTAATAAGGGTGGAAATCTGTGACAACACAATAATTTTGCCAAAATTAACTCTAGTTTGCAAAAGCTGATAACAATAAAAATAAGGGAAGTATTAAATTATGAATCAACTAGATTTTAAAATATTTTTTTATTAAATTGCTATGAAGGCAACATTTCCATGTAATTGGAGGTCAGGGAAAAGTTTGACATTTGCAAAGATTTCAAGATTAGTTTATATTCATGCATATAAAAAAACCTCCATTAATAAAGCAAGTATCTCTCATCCTCCAATATTTCTGATTCTTGTTAAAGTACTGTTGAAAAATGCAAGGGACAGCAATTTTATTTCATAACAAAAATTATTCTATCCTGTAGAAAGGAACCATTTATCCTTGTACACCCTAGATCCTAAGGTAAATGCATGTGATAATGCATTTGGAATCCATCTGTTCCCCTGCTTTGTTCATAGAGTCATTTTTATTATTATGCAATTTTCAGCAAATAATGTAAAAATTTACCTTCCCAAACAAATGTCTTAGTCAGCACAGACTACCTTACCAATTCTGTTCAGGCTTTCTGGAGGCTTCCATTCTGGTTACACAAATCACCTCAACTCATTGCTTACTCAGAAGGTTGTAAAACTATTGCAAAGTTTACTTGCAAAACACAGTAGCTTTCACATGTTACTGTGACCCGTTTGGGGGTTTTGTTTGTTTTATTGGGTTTTGTTTGGTTGTTTTTTTCCCTATGTACTATCATTGCCTTCTAATATCTTCTGAAAGTTATTAGGAAGCCAAGAGCAATCTTAGTGTAGAAATATGGCCAGGATGATTCCTGAAACCTTTCCAGTAATTTTTAGTGCTGGCTCTAGAACAATAATCACAGTTATGCACTTTCCATTGAAAATCAACACTGAAAAAGAGTTGTAATGTTGATGCTACATGTAAAACTAATCATTTTCATCACACAGCATCAAGATGTCGCCTGTTCTGCAAGGCTATACAAAGGACGACAGATACTGAATTTAAGTGGCATTGCTCATTTTTCTCATGTACAGATGGATAAGATCGGTAGCTATCATGATTTTACACTTCTCTGGCTACAAAGAAATGTGCTATCGAAGTTACTGATATCAATATGTGAACACCAACATCTTGTTCTTCCTCAAGCCTATCATACCATCACCCAGAAAGCTTAAAGATTTTAAGAGTACTGGAATGAAACACATCAGCCCAAACACGTATCAGAAGCAATTCCATTAATGAACAATGTTTGCCTGCAACATCAAGATGCTATACAGCCAAACAGCAGACATATCTTTTAAATGCTTTCATTCCTTTTACAGGGAAACCATGCTCTTCCATCTGATTTTGTCAGAATTTTTGCTGAGGGTGAACTTCCTATTCTTAATAAACTTCTGCATGCTGTATTTGAGGTCTTTTAATCTAGAAACTTGCTGGAGATTGAAAATCTTGCTACTCTGAAACCTCTCTGATTCAGAGTACCCGAACTTGGAACAACTATTCTTAGGCTACTCTGATCCCCTGAGAGTTTAAGATGTGTCACTAAGTAATATAGAAAGTTTCCTGCGAAGCGTCAGGAGCAAACACATTTTCATCTAGAATCAATCATTTTGCAGAACAATCACCACATATTGTTGAGGACTTTTATGAGAGAGGAGGAATTCTTACTTACCAGTAGTCCTGTTTATTGCAGTCTTCCTCTTCCTCCAGCCTACAACAGAGTCCTTACACTAAGTGTTACGGCTCCCACCTACCAGGAAGCAAAAGAATTGTCAGTTAAGGTCATTAGGGAAGTACCAGCCTGTGCACTTCCATCTCAGTTACATTTCCATAGCATGGAGACCTAAACTGCATGTGAGAATCTAGAAAAACTTCACCACCAAACTGTAACGAAGGAGAAATAAAAGGAAAGTAGTTGCTTCAGGCATTAGGAGGCTGGAGAGAAGTGATGGCTTGTTGTTGATTTCTCTCTTTCTCCCCTGTCACACATTTCTTAAACTGGAGCCTCTGCTAAAGAAATCAGGAAGAAAAGAATATGCTATAAACAGTTACCAGAGGCCAAATGCACGCTCAAGGCATGCATCCAAACCCGTGCAGTCTAAACACTAGGAGAACAGCTGAAACCTAATGGGGCATAGCAAGTTACAAAGGAATAGGACTTCACTGCTATTATGGACATTTACTGTTTCTGCTATGAGAAAAATGATGTGCTACTAGGCCAAAAAACTTCAGCTATCTGCAATATTTAGCTATATTTGAAGACAACGGATATGAAATGACTTATGTTTCTCTATTAATGAAAATTCCAGAGGAAAGACTGCACAAAGGATCGATGCATATATTCCATCTTCAACTATTCTATCCGTAATATACCTGGGTATCAGTATATTCTTTGGTTGCATTATATGCACGTAAATTTTCAAAAAGGTTGTGGAGGAGCATGTTACTTACATATTCCTTTTGTTCGAACTTATGAAAGTATCTGCTAAATTAATCTAAACTTTGTACAGAGGGGAAAAAATTACTTATTCTCAGAAGTCTGTGAATAGAAGGAAAGTAAAATGTATTGACTAGTGCAAAAAGGTGTTTTTAGGAACTGTATGAGCTAATGTAAGACAATTTTCCTGTCTGGAATGAGGACACCTGACAAAGTTGTCACAAGATTTCATGCTTTTAACATGCTTATTCCAAGTATTACAATTGCTTTATCAAAAAAAAAGTGGGGTTTATTTTGAGGTAAAAGTGACAGGCATCTCATCTGCCAAACTTACTGGCATTATCACATTTGAAACTCAATCTCTGTGGAACTCAAAGGTATAAAAAAAATCCTTAGCTAGAGACAAGAGGTTGAGGTGATGATATGTAAAGTAATGAAAGAAAACAAGAATGAGATCATCTTTCTATTTGAGGTTCACCTTTCCCTGGTGCCAGCTTTCTTTACAAGAATGTTTCTCTGCATATATTTTTTGAAATTGCCTCTCTCTTAGGAAGTGAGAATTGAAATAACCCACTGATCCCATAAATGATATAGAGTTTTCAAGGAGAGTCACGTATTACTATCATGTACACAAACTATTCTATAAAGCCAGAAAGCTAAAAAAAATCAGCTTTTTCTATTTTAGCTCTGTATAGCATGTTACATGTAGTTGTAAGCAACCAGCAACTACAGCTACTTAAGAAAGAGGGGTGAAATAAGAAACATTAGTAAATGAGAAAAGTTGTCATTTGGCAAAATAAATCAAACCACAGAAGACATCCTGTGTGCCAAATAAAGAATCCAGAGGTAAAGACAGTATCAGTGAAGCGATATCTGTTTGAACTGTTAACTTGAGACACCCAGCAAGCTTACTACTCTTAAGGTGAGCATGGCCCAGACAAAACCCCATTAAGGAGAAAATTTTGAAGGAATGGAGTCCCTTCTTTACAGATTGCCAAAGATAATTCCTGGAGGGTATTCTCATAGAGGTAAGTCAAAATATTACAATTTAATTTCCCTACAAAAATGGAGTCAGATGTCCACATTCAAGCATCTATATTTTTCAGACAGTGCTTAAAAAAAAAAAAAACCCAACAAATGATGGCAACACAATTACCAACAAAATACAAGCAGGAAAAAAAAAAAAAATCCTGGCAAAGGAATGTTAGGAAGTATATTAAATGGGGAAGGAAACAAGCATTTAGCTTGTGTAAAACCAGAATAAAAAGAGAGGCAGTATTCATTCTTCCACTCAAAAACACCCAACAACCCTAAGAAAATGGAAAACCTTTGCATGTGAAATTAGCCAGGACAACTGAACAGGAGTTGAAGGTTGTTCCCAGTTTGAAGCTAGAAGTTGAATAACTCCAAAACTTCAATAAAACATTTCTCATTAAGCATGAAGCCCAGCAGCTTAAAAAAAAAAACCCAAAACAAAACAAAACACAAACCCAAACCAACCAAACAAACAAACAAAAAAAAACCACACAAAAAACCTGCATGAGGGCACTGAAGATTTAACCCACTCTATGTATTCAAAAATCTTAACCCAGTTGGTACTACATGAGAAACACTGGAAAAGTGCACAAAACACCTTCTGACAAACACCTAACCAATGCTTGTAACTGTTGCTTTAAATGCTACTCCATCCTCTCCCCCCCAGCCAATATACAATCATTTAACAATAACCAAATGAGAATTTCTTCACACAGATGTGATGACCCAGGAAAACAAGCTCATAGAGTGGAAATACTGCAGTTCTTTACCCTGACAGACTGAACCTTGCCACTACTCAGTATCTGTTTTATCAAATGCTCTCTGAACACATTTGTATACCATCGGGCTGCAAAAAGCCTTTCAACAGGTATTTAACACTACAATGGCTTTCCAGGATAGCGATATCACTCGCCTCTGTTAGATGTCATGTTTCTGTCAAAATCAAAAAAGAGAGCCCTTAAATTCCCAATCCACAGCTGACCTCCCTGCCTTAGAGAATTAATACTCTTCACATCGCTCAGGCGTATCTTCTGTACTTTCCCTGTCACCGATTCATCTCATCATCCAGAAAGACAATTTTCCTTAAGAAGAGTGACACTTTTCTCTTCCATTCAGGAAGACAGTGACAGGCATTCTTCTCAACTGCTCTCAAGCATCACAAGCATCCTGCAGCCTTCTCATGGCTATCTTATCCTCACCTAGTACCACAGCTACCGTCAGGATTCCTCTTAGGGACTGCTTTCTTCATCTCCCCCCCTTTCTTCTCTAAACTGCACATAACTTACCATCTTTCCTCAGTTACCTTCTTCAGTCACGATATTAACACCTCTTCTGTTACTTCCATCCCTAGACCTTTCTGTGCACGGCACCAGCCGCTGTCATACCTCAACCTTTCCTCTGATCCCCACCCAGGCCTTAAGCCATCAACTTTATCAGCTATTTATTTTCCCTTCTCTGTTTTCATATCTAAAAAAATTCAATTTCTGGCCATGCCACTGCCTGTTTCTTTCTTTAATCAAAGTTCCCATTAACTGACATCACTGCATTGCTTACTTTCCCATTTCAGTTTTCAGCCCCTTTGCACAGTGTTAGCAAAAAACTTACACACATTGACCCCTGTCTACCACCACTCTACATTGTGAAGGAAGGCATTTTCGTACAGATGTTTTCAGACAGCGGCAGTGCATGAAGTGAACTTGTGTGAAGCAGCTTTTACCTCTCAGTAGTCAAACGGAAAGTCTTAAGTTTCCTGTTCTTCGAATTTCGCTTTCTTGTAAGCTACATTCTGGTTTAAAACTAACTTGGAGTGAAGGAAGCCCCTCAGAGCCTTAACCTCCAAAATACTACCATGAGACAGCACCTCATTTATTTCAGTCCTTAGTGAAGTTAACACGGGTTTCCACTGATGTTTAATAAAAAAAAAAAAAAACAACAAAACACAACTGTGGTTTTGAGAAGCCTGTTTGCTTCTCAGAGTTCACTATGACTACATCGGTAACTATAACATGGAGGAGTTTTACCAGGAATGGCAACAGGAAAGCCTGAACTGAGTAACATGCGACTGAGGATGTTCAACAGCTCTGCAGCAGAGGTGATAACCAGTATTTTAGAAAGCATTTTTGTTTTTGTTAATGCAAGCAAAGTTTGTAAGATAAGCAAGGAGCGATTTGCTTAAAACACAGTGACTCAAGCCAGCAAGAATCATATTTGAAAACGCTGAAAAGAAATAATGATTCCAGCCTCTATCGATAGAAAGTCTATGCAGCTCTCAAAAAGTGCACAAAAGTTCCATGTCTCACTGGGATAGAATCGTTAGGGGAGTAAGCAAAACATCCACAAAACTTTTCAGTCCATGTAATAACATCTAACACCCAAAGCTACTCAGAATTAAGCATCTGAAGACATTTGGCATCAGCAGAATTAACTGATGAAAAAAAGAGTATTAGGGTCTTCAGGGGGAGAGGATGAATTCAGAGGCAAACAAGAGCCAAAGTACTTGAAAATGCCTGTGTAAAATTTTCTAGAAAATTATCACATGGACAATTTCTCTAAAAGTTTCAAAAATCTATTATTGAAAGGGCTCTCTCGGGCTTGTGGAAAAAGAAAAACATTTTTTAATTTAAAGCAACAGTACTAGTTATTGCAGTACTGTATAGAACAAACATAGTAAGAGAGTAGAAATCAAGGATGGATAATATTGGTCAAACTTTAAATTTTCAATACTTCCAAGTAGGGCCAAGGACACAAATTAATATGGTTTACATAGCATGTATTACCTTAACAAGCTAGCATTTATTAGCTAAACTGTGACAAGAAATGACAGGGTGCTTACTCTGTCCCAAATTCAAATTCCGTCTAAACTTAGGAATTTTAATTTACATTTGCAGTAAGCGAAACATGTGGACAAGAGCAATTACAATTTATTCAGCTGACCCTCACCTAGCTACTATCAGATTATATCCCCACGTCTTAGAAATACAAAGTAAATCTGATTACAGAATGATTCAAAATGGTTTGAGTGTAACAAACACTCAACATTGTTAGAAAATAATCTGCATGCTTTAAGTGCAGATCTAAGACACTTTCATATACGCTTCCATGGATACTTCATGAAACAATTCCCTCCTCCACCAGAAAAGCTATGCTTTAAGATCACATGTGAATAAGTAGAGCTGCTGCTGAGAAATATTCTTACTGGGAAGGGAACTGAGGAATGTGCTGTAAGGAAGAAAGCCAGCCAAGAAAGGAAGCAACCTAGGGAAAGTAATTGCTTGGATTATCTAAAAGAAATGAACAATTGTAGATCCAAGACAAGAAAAGGGAAGAATTAGAGGCAGGATGATTAACTTAGCACCATTCAACTTGAAAAGCAAACATACATTTTCATCTATACACTGTAGTCCTATTACAGGACTGCTAAAATTAAAAGATCATATACATTTTTTTTTTTTTCATTTAATTTATTACACTTACCAGCATTTGCTGTATAGAGAATTTCACTGATGGGTCAGTTGTACTTCCTCTCTAAAGTGCTTTGAGGGGAGCTCAAGTGCATCCTCTTCCTCAATCTTTGAAGTGTTTACCTGTACCACCAGCTTTGAAAGTAAAAGGCAACAGGCAGGCAATGCAGAGACAGGAGTGAGGCTGAGTACAATATCATATTACTCTAAAAATATTTTAGTGTTGCTCTTCAACTCTTACAGGGACACAAAGCCTTTTTTTTTTTTTTAACCAAGACTTTAGATACTATTTAAAAGATACTATTTAAAATTGACATCTTGGAATTAATTCAGCAATATACCAGTTGACAAGAAAATAAGAACAGATAATCTGAAATAATATACATTTTATACACAAATATATAAAACAAATAGGATACTTAATGAATAAATTTATTGGTGTGCTATAACAAAAAGCAGTGCATAATCACTACTGGGTAATAAGATCTAATGGAAGCACATTATAATAGGAATGTTGATGAGTGTGGAATTACAAAAAATAATTAATTATGCCTGTATAAACATGTCAGAGTAAAAAGAATTCAAACAGTGGTAGAAATACTACTGGTGAAAACTAAGACTGGCAAAGATTTGTCTACAATGTGGGGTAAAAAAAAAAAAAAAAAGTGTTTAACGGACAGAAAGTGAGATTTAGTCAACATTCACATCAAATATTTTATATTCCAAAAGGGACTAGAAAAGATAGTGCTACTCTGCAGTCTCAGTCTGTCACAATTATTAATAAAGTTATTTCCAAACCCCAGAAATTAAATTTGCAGGCTGAAACGTTTCATACAAGAATTAAGAACCGGCAAGGAGCCTACTTTGACTACTTCTATTTTGTTGCTCATCTTCATGTTAAGAGGACAAGCATGTTGCAAACGCGTGAGAATGAGGTTGTTTCTGAGCTGATGACTGCAACTAAGGAAATTTCCACCATGCTTAAATGTCTGGAAGCTTTCTGAGCGCTTGGTTTTCATAGTATATATTATAGGTCTGGTGACGTAGAAGTAACCTGCTTATTAGAGAATCTGGAACTTAAAGAAAATAAGGAATATTGAACTCTTTTTTTTTTTTTTTTTTCCAATTAAATCTAACTGGCAGACAGTCAAGCTGCACAATGCTAGAGGCTCTAAATATGACTATGCAAGAGCAAAATACTGGGAATTAATTCAGTTTAGTCTCCATCTCTTCTCTGTAAGAAAGAGATAGAAAGGAAAAGGTAGTGGTTGTTGCTTCTCCTACCTTCTCCAACTGTTGATTTTTGTTTTATTTTTTGGGGGGGTTGGGGGTTTTTCTGTTGTTGTTTTCTTAAAGTTAAATGTAGTTTTAAAATTTTCATGACTAAACTCTAAAAATAGGTTTAAGAATTATTTTTTTTTTTTCCTTGACCATGGAAGTGTAGAAACAGAAGTCTTACAAACAGCAGTAAGACTTATCCAGTACTTCCACATGCAATTAGCAAGGAGCAATTCTGGCATAATACTGAAGTGGGAAGATTTCAGTTTCTGGGAAAATACTGCACAGACTACAGCAGATGTCTTGACTAGAGGGGAAAGGATTTTATTATGGAAAATGGCGAACTTCTCCCTAAAACGGTTAAGTCTAGAGGTGAATTAAGTGAAACGTAAGAATATAAAGGCCCCTTTACTAGTCAAGAAAAAGTCAACACAAATGTTAGTATGTAAAAGAAAGTGACTACAGGCACAAAACTGCAATAGATAAAATGAACAAGAAAATTTAAGGAGATTCATAGTTTCCATTATGTTTGTTGACTAACCAAGAGGAAGTTTACAAATCAAGCTACCAGCAATGTAACATGGATTATAATAATCTCGTATTTGCTACAACAGAAGCTTCAGAAGTGAAAACTACAGTGCACCAGTACCATCATTTGCATTTAAAGCTCACTCATGATTCAGCACCTGTTTTCCAGTCAAAAACGCTGGAAATACGGCAAGACAAAAATTCTGTATCCTATGCGGAGAAGCTTCATCCCTCTGTGCATCAGAAACCCCAAATCTCTCATTATGAATGTCTAGAAAATGAGTCAGGGACAGTTTTCAGTACTTGTCCTTCTTCCCTGATTCTTAAATTCCTGATCCGTAAGTGTTTTCTTAATGCTCTTCCCTCTTTTTAACTGTTATTTCCTGTTTCACAGATTAAGAATTGAAAACTAAGATGCAGCTGAATTCCTATGTGGCCAGTGAGAGCAGGTGAGCAAGTTGACTCATTGGCCATGTGGGCTTCCACTCCTACACCACGTTCACTGCAGAACAGTAAGAATTGCAAATATGTAGGTATCTTCTCGAGCCACAGACAGTGGAACTCTCAATCATTTCAACTTTTTTCGGATGTTAAGAACCACAGTCCGTCTATGAACTTCTTAACAATTGAGAGAAAACTGTACGACATGACTATAGAAGAGATACCTCACATTTTCAAAGATAAAACGTCTGCACATTTAGCATTCCTTATATTAAGTGTTAATGAGGCAGGGAAGGCAACAACCACTTCTTAGGCTTGAAAGAAAGTAATTCTACCATGGCCCTCGGGGAGGAAGGTCAGCACCTTCGTATGCACAAGCAGAGTATCTCAAAACTTTTGGAAAGGATGGTTCTTGCTTGGCTCGTTTATTCTTGCACGGTTCTGTATTAGCTGCACTGCTGCAGAGCGAGGAGCAGCAGCCAGCCTGTCCCCCTTGGAGGAGAGGGATGGCTGTCAGTAGTTTCTGCAAATCCTCGCGGTCAGTAACCGCAGCCTGGTTCTCCATCTCCCACCCCAGCCAGGCAGCAGAGCAGGGCTGGGGAAGGAAGAGCCACGGTACTGCTCTCGAATACTCTGTGATCCCCTCGGATCCAGCAGAACTCTGGGAGACTCAGAAAGCCACTCTTCTTTGCAAGAGTTATGATCACAACACGATCACTTGGCACGTGCAGCATTAGTGAGAAAGGCCTAAATACACAGCACTAACTCTTCCAGGTGCTTCCTCAAAAATTAACTGAAAGTGATGCTGGGTTTGGTGGAGGTTTTTTATTCCAAAGAAAATTCCCTTTTAAGGGACTTACCTTCTCCAGTGCCAACGAATCCACAGGCTCAAGACTGATGGAAGCCAGGGACTGCAGAGCTGATAGACTTAATCCACCTGCTAAAAAGGATCATGCTGGAGCTGGTAAGAACCACTGACTGCACAGTCCAAATCTAATGCACTTAAGACAGTGTGACGTCCCTAGAAAACTTTATTGCCTAGCTTCTTGGCCAGGCAGAGTCACAGAAACAATCTGAAACCAACTGCCCAGGATGACAGCAGTCCCTAAAGGGACACAAGGCACACCAGACCAATGCATTGCTCCCCAAAGGCACTCTCATATATTAGCAGAAAAAGAATACCCCACATCGAGCTATATTGCAGAATTTGAACACTTAGATCCCAGTCAACAATTACATCTACTGTGAACTGGAAAAAAAAAAAACCAAAAAAAAACAACAAAAACCTGCAAGGCTGAAATTAAACTTCTTCATACAGAAGTTGGCACAAAACTTATTTGAATTGTTTTCTCCCCAGGCTGACAAGACCACAGCCACAATCTGGCCATACAAGCCAGCACTGTCAGTCTCCTCAGTCTCTCATTTCAGAACGACTAAAGAATCATCATCATTTCAGGAATTCAGAAACACCCTTTCTAAATAAAGCCCACTGCACTCATACACTCTCAGTACAACCCTGTACACCAAGACAAAACAGTGTTTTAAAGCCAAGCCCCTCTTCAAGCAAGCGTGTCTCCCAGTCTCACAGACAGACAGCATACAGTGTTTCACATACTCCAAAACAAGGCCTTACATAACCCAAGGCTGATAGTACTAGATATTTCCCCCTCACTGTGGATTTCTATCTCCTTTCCCTAAACACAGGAGAAACCCATCAGGACCCCACACAAGACCTCCGCCACAAAGGAGAACTTCTCTTCAATGTTAGTCATCCTCTTGTCAATAGGACAGAAATTCACCTTTATCTCTAATACTGCTTCTCTGAATTTATATTCCACAGCTATCTTCTGAATTGTACTCACGGAATTATCAGTAAAATAGTATTTTCAGTGCCTCCACATGCCCACAGCACTTTTTTTTTTTTTCAGTAATCCCCTTCAACACTGATTTCTTCAGCATCTGAGGGCTGCCAAGGCTTACTGAAGAAGCTTATTCTCTCTCTACCTCACTGCAATAGCTTCATCAGAAATCATCACTTCAAAACAGTCAACAGAACTGCGATGTTGCATCCAGGCATCACTCTTGCTCACAGTTCATCTGCTTAATATAAACTTGCTTTCATCACCAGTTTAGTATGCTAGGCTGTATACTGCCTTAAATCACAGGATTAAGATTCACCAGGCAACACAGAGATCTCGCATATCAGAGTTCTCAAGTTGCCCAGGTCCAACCACCAGCTATTTTCAACGTGTCATAGGGAAACACAGAGTCAACACATTTCCTTCTGAAAGGAAGACTGTTTTCTATGAACAATTTCTAAAGAAATGCCAAGTTCTAATTAAAAAAAGAAAAAAAAATAATCAAACTTTTGCTATTCAAATTACTATCACCATAACAACCAACCTCCTCAAACTTTCAAGAAATTATCATCTTCAAAATACCGTATGAAGTAGGAAAGTAATAACTTACGTGAGGAACCAAAGGCATATATTTGAGGTAAGTACTTTTCAAAAAGAAGTCTAATAATACTGCATAAATACCTATAGCTTTTACACCACAAATAAAGCCTGCTGAATAATCTTTGTGGTATTGGTTTGTAGGAAGCCATTATATGAAGTTGGATGACAGGAACAGGACACAAGAGAAACTATACATGTAATTCTGAACACCAAGATGCTTCAAGCATTTCTGCTAGCATAGTGTATTTTTAAAAACATATTTACATAAAAAAAAAAAAAAAAGATTACTTTTTGGTATTTGGGGTTTTATTTTAACTTACTTTCCTATGACAAACAAACCTACAGCCAAAGTTGAACCTTCATGCAAATTAACTTCTGAATTTCTTTCCTTTACAGTACTTCAGCATTCCCTCATGCATTCTGCAAAGACTCTTCAGTCAAACACTAATAATTTTAAAGCAGTGGTGAAGACAAACAAGTTTCAATCAGTTGTACCAATAAAGAGCTTTTCAAGGTA